AACTCCAGCGCGCATGCTCCCAGCGTCGCGTGACTTCCGCTGTCGTAACAACAGTATTCTTCCTATATATATCTGATGTACATTGTAATGAAGACTGTGAACTTATATTGAAGATAAACGGTGATAAGTATTTGCCTATCGCTGACATCATATGTAGATGTTCCACAAGATTTGCATATAGAAAACACACACACATATATATTTCATGTATTTGTATGTTTGTTTAATCCATCGACTTCAACATCTATTCACTCGAGTCATTAATAAGTCCAAACCGAAAACATTACATATATGTTTAGTACAAATACAAAAACAGGGAGAATATTGAGACAACCAAACACGGCTGGAGTAGAAGGCTTCAATAATCCCAAACCAACACATTTTCCTAAATACATACTTCTAACAAAACGAACAAAAGCCCCTAGTAATCCCCCCCCTCTCCAGTGGAACAGCGATATGACTTTGGACTTACAACGCTAGAAACCGGGTTTCGATACTCGTGGTAGGCAGAGCACAGATAACCCATTGTGTAGCTTTGTGCTTAACTACAAACAAATAATCAATTCCAAGTAACCTTCAGGTTTCGCGGATGGCGAATTAGACAAACCTAATATTTACTGACAAGCAAATAAACATCAATATGCAATATTGAAAGTTAATATATAAGAAGGTGGGTGGAGAAGTATACATTTTTATCACCTGTCAATTTTCCATTTTATCCCCCTTTTTTTTTCCTTGTTTCAAAGATATACTGGGTGTTTCAAAAGCCGCCCCTTTTTTGGCGGTTGTGTTCAGGATATCGATGAATACCTTGTTATAAGGGCCCGACATGGCCAGGTGGTTAAGGCGCTCGGCTCGCGATCTACGGATCGCGGATTCGAATCCCCGTCACACCAAACATGCTCGCCCTTTCAGCCGTGGGGGTATCATAATGTGACGGTCAATCCCACTATTCATTGGTAAAACAGTAGCCCAAGTGTTGGCGGTGGGTGATGAGGACTAGCTACCTTCCCTCTAGTCTTACACTGCTAAATTAGGGACGGCTAGCGCAGATAGCTCTGGTGTAGCTTTGTGGGAAATTCAAAACAAACTAAATTTCTCCTTTATCATTTTTTAAATTCGAGCTTAACCGCCCACTTATGATTTCCGAAAAAAACAACATCATAAAAGCATTTTTAGCAAGTTCTCTAACTTTCAAGTACTTAATAAACCTGAGTTTGTAAATCAAATGACTCACAATATTGAGTTTAATGAAAACAAAGAAAAGAAAAAGACGCTTTGTTTGGGCCGTAGAATGATTTTCGGGAACCACTTCTGGGTTCTTTGGTGAATTAAAGATCCTTTTTCTTACAGAGAACACGTTTAGCGAGATGAAACTGGCAACGTGAAGTCACCGATCACGATGCTTGTTTACATTTCCGGAAAGCCTTTGAACGACGGTTTACTTTAAGTACAACCGAGAAAGTGGAATAACTTTAGTTTGTGACAGAATTGAAGAGTAAAGGATCTTCGGAAACTAAAGCAGTGTTGACATCCTCATATTATGTTAAGAATAAGACGTGGGTACGAACTGTATCTACATTACTATAATAAACTTCACAATTTCTAATAAACTTATACACACACACACATATCTCAATATCCAAACTGTACGTTACATAGTTAATTTATAGGGTTTTCTAGATGTACCCAAAGAATGTTTGTTTGTTTTGGAATTTCGCGCAAAGCT